AAAATAAAGTATGCATCACTCCCAGTATAAACTGTCAGGAAGAACAGATACAAATGCAGCTCCTCGAACCCAGGGAAAAGAGAGACTGGTAAAGGTCAGAAGAGGGTGATAATTAATTAACCACCATGCCATGAAGGCGTATGGGGGAGTATATGAATAGATCCACGCATTTTTGACCTCGTCACTAGTTGAGTGGTCATCTTCACGCCCCGGCCGCTTTAACCCGGTAAAGAGCACCCGGTACCCACTGGATGCACGAACCTCAGAGACGGTCTGGATGACGTGGAGAAAATTTCTGATTATACCGGGACTCGAACTCCGACACCTCGGCCGTCCAGCCCGTAGCCAGTCGCTATACCGACTGAGCTATCGAGACTGCTAAATAGTTATCAGAACGAGAAAGAAAAAAGAAACATATATGCCCATTCCATAAGCCTGGGACAGAGCGCGCCAAGAATTGTTGCGAAACGCTTAGGCCTGCATTTCTTTGCTTCCTACAGAAATGCATGTTTGACTCTTAGAGAAAAACGAGATTACCACATCGCTATTACAAAACATGGCGGATTCGTGGATATGCAAGTGAATTCTTCGCATCCTTATTAATACACAAACACAGAATTATCGCTGTAAGGTCTGCTTTTAGCAGCGCCATAGCTCAACCGGTTAGTCGCTCGCTTCCCACCGCGGCCGCCCGGGTTCGATCCCGGGTCTGGTCAAGTGAGATTTGTGGTGGACAAAGTGGCGCTGGGGCAGCATTTCTCCGAGTACTTCGGTTTCCCCTGCCAATCTTCATTCCACCAATTGCTCCACAATCACCCTCACCTATCATCTGGGGCTGGTACAATAGGCCAGAAGTGGCCGCAGTACAAGGAACTTAGTCCCACCCCACAGAAATAAAAAAAACTATGCTTTTAATATTCGAAATTACAGAACACAGGCCTGAGGCAGTAGTTAATCAAATGTAAATATGAAGAATGCCGTCTTCTGGGATGTGGCCGTGTGTAGATTTTGTGTGAACCGACGTTTCGGTGGAACGTCGGTTCATACAAAATCTACACTGCGACACATCCCAGAATACGGCATTCTCGATAGTCACCGCTGTGAAAATCTCAATTCTTACAAATGTATCTTTCTTTTCGTTAACATTTTATTATATATAGATGACGTAGAAATAACGCAATCCCCCATGCTCAAGCAATTAGAGTAAGCGACGATACCAAGTGACCCTGAATTATCAAGAACAAACGTTACAGCCAAACCATATAATTCAATACCACACACAGATAATCGTAATAATAATAATTTAAAACATAATTAAAATTTATGAGCGATAAAAGTTGACGAGAAAATGTAAAATCCTAACGCATCATACGTAAGGACATAATAATTCTTCCTGGACTAATTTTACGGCGGGAATTACACGTGACCACTTCACTGAATGCCAAGGACGGCGGTGGTCACGTGTCGATAGCTCACAAACCGTCATCAAAGCCCAACTTAAAGAGCTCTTTATCTTCTGGGATATAACGTCGCGTAGTGTCCGGTGAAGATCAACCGACGTTTCGGAACATAATTACTCTGTGTTCAGGGCTAAAGAATATGAAAAATCAATCTGCTTAATGCCTACTTCATGTTGGTTTCTTGATCTTCGACCCTGAAAATAAAGGCGATGTGTTCCTCCGAAACGTCAGTTGAATTTCACCGGGATACAAGATGTTATAGCCCACAAGATAAACTTCTTCATAGTCAACGCTGTGAAAATCTCAAACCCAAAGCAAAACTTGCCTATTGTTTAAATAAAAACAATACGTAAGGTGTTAAAATTAACTTGACATGAACAAGTTATGAAAGGTAGGTATGGGGGAGCTATACCTCCACTCCCCCATATTTCTTCATGGCATTGTGTGTAATTAATTACGCACAGGGACAACTTTACGTATGGTGTAAGAACTCTGCAGTATTCTCTCTTCTGTTTCGTTTTCTCGAAAACAGACTTGCAGAAACACTGTATCATCGGCGGGGGGGGGGTGTGTGGATATATGTACGCCCCTTCAATGCATTTTGCTTCGATACTTTCGTTCCGGTAAATACTCAGCGAGTTATTGTCGAGAGGCGCGCAAAAACGTGTTCAGGTGTTCATGTACAGTGTACGTAAATGGTGATCGATTTGAACGAAAATTGGTTGCTTCATGCATACGGACAGGCGTTACGCAGAACTGCCAAAAAATCCATGTAGCATAACAGTAACCTGCAAGCTAGAAAAGAAAGTTTGGGTGGGCCCAGAAACTGTGGATTTCTGGGTGTACTCTTCCTCTTCTTCTACCGCGGATACAAGGAACAGAATCTGTCAAAACTTGATACAAATCGGGGATCGTGTACGGCGAGGGACTTCCGTACTTGAATCTGACGACTAAGAATTCAACGAAATAAAACAAAAATTGCGAAATTAATCGCAAGACAAATAATATGACGTCACTGGAACTGTATAATGTGGGCGAACCTACACTACAGGATTTCGCGTCTGAGGATAGGGTCTTTGAGATCAAAAACGATATAAGTAAGTCAATAGCTCCGCTTTTATTTACAGTTTATTTCACGACGCTGCCAATAAAAAGGCAAGGTAAAATGTAAAGTTATCACTGTAACAGGACGTGGAGGCCCATGGGGCTATGAGACATCGAGGCTACCACATTTTCTAGATAATCGGCTCACAGATGGCGGTGAGGTCAGCCTTATGCGCCGGTCGCCCTTTAAACCCCAGGAAGATCCCTGGTACTCATTTCTGATAGTGGCTGAGTCGACCACAGGACCATAGTGCCACTGGAAGGTTTAGGTCAACTGAAAAATCCACTGATCTCATCGGGACTTGAACCAGCGACCTTCCGGCTTGTAGCATAGTACCTCAACCAACTACGCTACCCCGTGGCCTTACTGTTCTACTAGTCTTTCTTAATTTTCTTTACCTTCAAAATGGAGTTCATTTAGATATTTTTAATATCTGTAAAAAATTAGATACCTTGATAAGACATCATCTCTCGTGTGTGTGTGTTTTGAGGTTTTGCCTCATGGGACACAGAGCCGTGCAAACCGTCGAAAACTAACTTTAAACGGACTACAATTTTTTACATCCCAGAAGACAGAAGTCCGGGAATCCGACGTGTCCGTGTTATGTTGAGTGTGACATCGAGGCTTCTTGCACTTAGCAACTGGAGCAGAAACCGTACAAGCACACTGTTTCCTAGCTCGGGCTACTCCAAAATAAAACTACTTGTTAGGCTACCAATCAGAATATCGGGTATCTGAACAACCAATAACAAACCATTTGATTTTCTGACGTAAGAATTAAACATGTCCAAGAAAGTTTTCACAATCACAGACGATCTTCTGGTAAAAAGGGGCGAAGTAGGATTTTTAAGGTAGGCCTACAGAAAATCAATGCAAAAAGTACAACTAGAACGATATAATACGGTCCTGTGCAAATATTTGTTTTTTTTTTCTGGAGCAGATATAACAATCAGACTCTAAAATTTAAAATAAATTCTATACATTTTAAAATTATTATGAAATTCAACAGCTTTATGTATAATTCACAAGAATATCTGAATTTTCGTGTTATGCAGAACAGATTAACAACAATTTTTTATATCATGTTCTCATTTCTACAAAATTATTAGCAATTACTTCAATATAAGCTTCCGGAATGGCATTTGCTGTTTTTAGAATTCAACATAAAATACTTAATCTGAAATGACGCATTACCAGGGTACAAAGTGTTTAAAGCCAACCAATAGCACATCGAAAAACACGATGCATGTAACATATGTGGATCAGAAGGGAAGTTCACGGGGTTATCGGCTTACGCTGGAAAATGACCAATCAAATCATCGCAAAGTTTTGGGTTAAACTGGTTAAGAGAGCCATGTGAATTATAAAACTTATTTTAATGTCTCAAATGTGCTGTGGTCCGTTTTATTGATTGTGGTTCGTGTATATATTAATAAGATAGGCCCTTCTGAGTGGCTGGTCAGTCAAGACTCGTCTGTATCAGGAGGGGCCAGTGAAGCTTCCGAAGTTGTAAGTGTTAAACCATTACATTAAATTCATTAGTTCTGTAACAAAACACTGCGTCACGTTCTATTTTCAAATTCGCATTTTAAATCTGGAAATTTCGGCGCACTCGTAAAGAAGAGTTGAGAAAAAAAATAGGCTTCTTTGCTTCGCCATGTCGCGAACCGCTGAACTGATTTTTGATAAAAACTTATACTGGTGAATTTTATTAAAATTATGTACGATTTGAGGTTCTGACACCGGTGGTTATGAAGAGTTTTGTCTTCTGGGATATAACGCCGTGTGGTCTGTTAAAAGTCAACCGATTCATATAATTACTATCGAGAGAAAAAATACTTTGGGAAATTCCCGTGTCTGGGAAACCACTGTTGATTGTTCGGTAATCTTCATGTGTGGCTGGAAATACTGATGTTGACTGTTCGGCAACCATTTCATATGTTCGAAAAACTAATGCTGACTGTTCGGTAACAATTTCATGTGTTCGAAAAAAACAATGTTTACTGTTCGGTAACCATTTTATATGCTCGAAAAAACATAGCAGACTGTTCGCTGACCATTTCATGTGATCGAAAAACCAATGCTGACTGTTCACCCAAACAAAATCAACCAGACTCTATGAGAGTTTTAAATAATTTTTCAATTCAATTCAATTCTTTATTATTTATGTGCTGAGCCAACAGCCGCAAGGCCAATTACAGACTCTGCACAGCGTAGACAGAAGTAAAATAATATGATAATAATAATAATAATAATAATAATATCACTATGAAGCTAACAACGCAAGCGAAGTAACATATATGTATTTTGTTCCATGAAGTTGAACAGGCGGGTTATAGGTCTTTGAATCTGCCCTGAGGGCAAGAAAGTGTATTTACTCCTGTGTCCTGTGTCCTGCGCCATTTAAAATTACTATTTTGTTTTTTTTTTTACAGGGGACATACCAAAACGACGATTCTTTCACGTCCTCAGAAGATTCTCTGTTGGGGCGTCACAGAAACAGGACAACAATATCAGCGTCCTCGTCCACCTCAACATTTATCACTGGATCCACCGGCAGCAGTATTGTTAACATCCACAAACACCACGACTACAACAAGTGTCACGACAGGAGAATGTCAGTCACTAAACAAAAGGAGCTAAACCTCCTGATAACAGCACCTCAAGTTCCTGAACTCAGTACGGGCGATGACAGTTTAAAGAATAAAGTAACTGTTGAAGAACCATCGATACAGGACAATCATGTTTGTGAAATCAAACCTCAACCTCAGCCTCAACCTCAACCTGAGCACAGATGTTCATCCAAAAACAATCTTGGCCAAAGTGCGGCGCCACAAGTTCAAATCCATTGGGGCCCTCAGGTAAGTCGCATATATCTGCTCTCACTCAGTTCTTCCGAGTTTCTCAACATCTACCGAGACAGCCTATTCTAATCGAAGTTTTCGTGGTTTTCCCCACTACCCCCAGGCAATTCGACTGTCACTACCCCTTCCGTCTTAACATTTTCTTTTTCAAATTAATCAATACCATTTGACGCTACATAACCTAGAAAGTGACAGCGTTTGAAAATAAGCAACAGAATCAACCGGCAAGCAGATAGGAATGCGACTGCATCTGTTTTCTTTATTTGCTACTTACTCAAGGACTCTATCACTAGTTCTCACTACAGAGCGCCTCCTGGGATAGATAATAACGTTTCGGAGGAATCTACTGCATCCATCTTCAGGTAGAAGAGTGACACTATTCTATCATGTAGGATGAAGCTTGCTCCAAAACACTCCTCTAACCTTGAAGACTGAGATGACATGTTCCTACCAAACGTTGATATGCATTTACCAAACTACACGGTGTCATATTTCCACAAAACATTTATCTTCAAACATATCTAATAACAAAAGATACCAAGAGACAGACGTTTTCAGGGTTTCGTACCGTATTTCCTTGCGGTGGACTGAATAGCCAGTTCAATCCACTGTTCGAGCAGGCAGACTGACAGACATGTTGAGACGATACAGGGCACATTTACCCCACACAGCTGGCTTAAAAATCGACATCACAGTTGGGATAGTTTAGCACTTCCTGTGACGTAAGTACGAGTCTTTAGAAATGCATGTTAAATGTAACCAAATTTGGCACACAATAAGACAATTATTTCTGCACACAAAAGGTCAAGAGTGCGTAGCCACGTTATGAAGAGGACATACAAAGCGGAGTGGAGGAACAGCCTATGTGAAAATTATATTCCTTCTCTAGCGATGGCGGAACGCGGCAGCGAAGTCGGTTGAGGCACTATGCTACAAGCCGGAAGGTCGCGGATTCGATTCCCGATGAAGTGCATTTTTTCAATTGACCTAATAGTTCCAGCCGCACTATGGCCCTGGGGTCGACTCAGCCTCTAACAGATATTAGTACCAGGAATCTTCCTGGGGGGTAAAGGGCGGTCATCCGGCGCGTAAGGCTGACAACCTCACCGCCATCTGTGAGCCGATTGTCTAGAGAAAATGTGGGAGCCTCGACGTCTCACAACCCTATGGGCCTCCACGGCCTGTCACAGGGATAGCTTTACTTTTTTATTTTTTCATTTATTGGTGCTTAAGCCTTTCTGTTTAGCGTCCCCATTCTGTTTTAAACTTCTCGCACTCCACTAAGTAAATCCATGTAACCGAGTCCTCGAGGAGCCTATCGCGAGGCGTCTACTGATACAGGACAACATAAACACAGAAAGAACGACCCTGCGTTCTCATCGCAAGTTGAAAATAAAACCTAGAAAGTTTCTTATAACGTTAACAATCTACGTCACTACTTGATGACGTACCCTTCAAAGATGTTTCAGACAGAGCACATAAATGTGCAACTGCATCTTATAACAGTTATGTCCTCAGGACAAAAGAGTTAAGGGGTCATTAAGATACGATTAGAATAAATATTACTGATCATACGCGTTACTTTTCTTGTAAGTTCCTGACGTCATCATTTGTCGAATCTTTGACATGACGCAGTTCCGAAATTGAAAGAAGCAGAAGAAGAAGAAAAGAGAAAGCTATTACTTCAATTTAATGTACAGAGACCCACGTATCCGACTCCTGTTAAGTAAAATTATATCATGAAGCGGACTTTTAATTGTAAACCATCATTAAATATAGGTAAAGTTGTCTCTGTGCTTAACTAATTAAGCACTACACCATGAAGGCGTATGGGGAGTGGATGTATACATCAAAATTTTCTTGGCCTCGGCTCTAGTTGAAGGTGAATGGTCAGCTTCACACCCCGGCCAGTTTACCCCCCGATACCCATTGGACACGAGGCTGGGTGGGTCCCAGAGCCGGTCTGAACGACGTGGAGAACTAAAATTTCTTACCCCCACCGGGACTCGAACTCCGGCAATTAAATCAAGGAGATGAAATGAACGAGTAGCATATATGAGTTGGTTATTTATCGACGCTGTCAGTATCGAGTCGAGTGGTAGGATGGTAGATGAATGAGGAGCAGCTCATAAAATAAGAACTGACTGAGGAAAGCCAAGTATTCACAGAAAACCCACCCGTTTTATTATGTCCACCAGAAACCTCATATGATTTGGCCTAGGATCGAAACCAGGTCGCCGCGATGGGAAGTCAATGACTGCCTGAGTTATTGCACGACCCACAAAGGAGAGACACAAGAAATAAGCATAAAATTTTGTCCGGAAAACCGTAAACGAAGAGACCATTCTAAGGCTAGTATTGTGGGATGTAACAGCTTTTAGTCTGGTAGAAAGATTCAAACGCTTCGGAGGAACATTCTGCCTCCATCATCATGGTCAACTTTGTAGATGTAGGGAGCAGGTTCCACCGAAACCAGATAACACGGTGTCACATCTCAGAAGATAGTAATGTTCATATCCACGGCCGTGAATACCCGAAGTCGACACCCTCAGAGAGATGCAGGTGTAATGGGAAATTCATATAAAACACAGCGTAAAAGTGTGATCTGGATTAAACTGGCGCAGCATAAGGTTCAAGAACGGGGTCTGTGAACGTGGTAACGAACTTTCGGGTTCCATAAAAAGCGGGGAATTTCTTAATGCGAGGAGTGACATTAAGTCTGAAGAAAGACCGCGTAAGACGGGGGTTATTATACCCTGACATGCGAGATCATATGGGTATGACGGTACTGCAGACTGCTGCATTTCCTCTCCATCAGACAAGACACGCAACGAATGGCTTGGTAACAAATAAACTTCGCGTGCTGCCCAGGGTATCAGCCTCTCCAGACAAAGTTCAAAGCGTTTTGCAAAAACAATGACTTCTCTATCCGACACAAAGCCCAGTGGGTACTATATGTACCATCTGCTTTAACATATTAAAACTCTGCACTGTTCCCACACAGTGTACTTGTGTTTCGTATGGTTTCTCGTAAAAAACCCGCGACTGTTTCCCTAAAGAGAATTAACCGGTTGGGCGTTGCTATGGAGACGGTGTGTGCTCCCTGTGAGGTACGGACTTCAAGATACTAAAACTCTGCATTCTGCCCACACAGTGCATTTATGTGTTCCGTATGGTTCTCACAGTAAACAGCGACTGTTTCCCTAAACAGCATTAACCGGTTGGGACGGGGTGTGTTCTCTGTGAGGTACGAACTGAATTCTTATTTATAAATTTTTCATTCTTTAAAGGGTTAACTTATACCGGGCTACACGGCGTCAAATCTCAAAGGATAAAGACCGCCGTGAGAACCTCAAATCGAATACATTCCCGTATTATCAGCTGTTTACTGTTACAAAAAGATATTTTCAACAAACATTCCACACATTTTAGTCAACATTTCGTACTCACTTCGGTAGGGGAAACGTTAAGTATGTGCAATTTTTGTTTCTAACAGTGGTGACTATGTATATTACTGTCTTCTGTGATGTGTCACCGTGCAATCTGGTAGATGTTTACAACAAGAATATAGGATAAGCCTGTATTCTGAAGGTGCCTGCTTCTAACGTCCGCCGGAACCCCGGTTACGATGACTGCGGGTCTTTGAGGTTTTCCTCAGTCCCTATAAGCAAAAGACGGGACAACACCACGATTAAGCCACTGCTGCTGTATAGTACAGATCCTAACAGCGCCGTTAAATACACACCTCCTTTAAAACTGGAAACGAATTACAGAAACGTTACCAATGAAGAATTCGGGATGATATATGATTGGAACAGTTGCAGCTTAGCTTAAGGTAAAAGGTAGTTATCCCTGTAACAGGCAGTCGAGGATCCCTCATTTTCTAGACAATCTGCTAACAGATGGCGGTGAGGTTGTCAGGAGGATTCCTGGTACTCATTTCTGTTAGAGGCTGAGTCGTCCTCAGGGCCATAGTGCGGCCTGAAGGATTCGGTCAATTGAAAAATCCAGTGACCTCGTCGGGACACGAACCCCCGACCTTCCAGCATGTAGCATGATTAATTTAAGGTACCATCCCAGAAATTTCCGGCGGGGATGCGAAGTCATCAAGTTCGAAACAAGGCGCAGGAGTGTCGAACCAGAATTACAAAAAGGAAATTAAAAAGTCTTAGGGCATGTTCTGCATCATGCCCAGCACGAAGCCAGCGGCGACACGCTGAGCATAAAGATGGCTGTCAGATCGTCTGATTTCACGAAATCTGGGTTAAGGACTTTTGGATATATACGGACTACAATACAGCTTTTCCTCTTCGGTGTAACAAGGCATAACCGACTTGATTTATCGACAACTGTGTTGCAACGAATGCATCGGAGATCCGTTACGAAACCAACTAAAACTGCGTTAGTCTCGTGGCGAATTTGGCGTCGTACCAAGAAATTGAGATCTACTGTACAGAAATTAACATATTTTTTTCTCTTTGGCACTACAGCCCCAGTGGGCCTAGGCCTACCTCCATGAACTTCTCCGTTCACTTCGATTTTTTTACATCTTACACATTCGGTAGGACTCCTTGGGCGGGTGATCAGCTCGTCGCAAGGCCTCTACCTGTACACAAACACAGAAAAACACACACACANCATCACAGGAAACAGATCCGAACCCACGATCCCGGCTTCCGAGCGAGCGAAGACAGTACATGCCTTAGACTGCTCGGCTACTGTGACCGGTAGTGTATAAGAATAATATATAATAATTCAGTCCGTACATCACAGGAAACAGATCCGAACCCACGATCCCGGCTTCCGAGCGAGCGAAGACAGTACATGCCTTAGACTGCTCGGCTACTGTGACCGGTAGTGTATAAGAATAATATATAAGAATTCAGTCCGTACCTCACAGGAAACAGATCCGAACCCACGATCCCGGTTTCCAAGCGAGCGAAGACAGTACATGCCTTAGACCGCTCGGTTACCGTAACCGGCGAAATTAACGTATA